CGACTGTAAACGAAATGCCAGATCAGGGCCAATCATATTACATTACAGAAAGTTTATTAGATTTGAAAACGATTAGTTATCAGTTGCAGAGTTTAAAGTTTGTTGGATAAAGCTTGTTCCATATAAGATCTGGTGAGAACAGAATTTAGTCTCCGAATCACTGTCCCACGAGCGGTGACACGTGTACTAAAGATATATTAATGTGTATTTGACGAGCGGTTATACCTTTCAGGCTTTATTGAAGGCCACAGAAAACGTTGGTTTTGACAGATATTTTAGCTTTTATTTTCGTCCAAGGTAACTGATTTATGGTCCTTTTTTAAATATGAAACTCTAAGACAAAATCGAACGCGGTCGGGATCGTAAATTCATGGTAAACTCCACGGTCCTTTCCTTATGTGCATAGTATCTGCTTCACCAGAGATACATATGGATTTTGAATTCAGAGATGTCTTTCTTCTATATTAGTTGCCACCCAAGTCTGAAGAACTCACTGCCCTACTATGTGGTATACTGTTCTAGTTCCACGTATCATTTTTAATGGATGTTAGTTATCAGTTATCTCCTGTTAATTCGCCTCTCCAAGTTCTCCACTGCCTTAACCGGTTATTGAATTCACACTCTTTGGGTCCTATCACGTGCAACTAGAACAGTCTATCCCAGTGAGCGAAATAAAAGGATTCACATCGACATTCCAACCACCTGAAGAAGTCCGGAGGGTACAACGGCCGAAACGTTGTAATAAATATGGCGACAAAGATGAGGACAATAGTTCGAATAATGTACATAATACCTCATCTCAGAAATGTAGACAGATTACAGATCCTTCTTTGGATTTTGTCAAGAATCTTGAGATGTACAGCAGGAGCACCAGACTAGATGTAGCAACAGTATTCAATACACTAACGAATGGTAGATTTATAATATGCAAGTACATATTAAGAAAAGAGAGAAAAGGAAGATAGAGGAGGGGATAACGCGTTTTACGTCTGCTTTAGTGAAATGCAAACCTTTGTCAATTTTGAATCTTCATTTGTAACTCTTTTACTTCCTTTGTTAAAGCTGTTAAGCGGAAATATTTAACTATGCAGTGATTAGTATAGTAAACTATTTACATTGTTCGGACTGTTGTCCTGATCTTTATTGCAACATTCACGACGTTTCAGTCGTTGTACGCTCCGGCCTTCTTGAATGTTTCAACCGGGGTTGACAGATTTAAGTATTTTTGAATACCCACAGCTATTTCAAGAGCCAAGTTCCAATTCCAGTCGGGTTTATTATAGCCACTCACACGCACATAACCTTGGGGAAAGGTATGAATCCACCTTCTGCTCCCAGGTGTCGGTTAATTGGTAGATTTGTATCAGTAAACCATTATTATCAAGAAAAAAATTCTTAGAATGTAAAAATATCTGGCTTTAAAATAACTTGCAAAGCGTGGTGTTTAAGGGTTAATGACAATGCTTCAACCAGGGTTGACAGATTTAATTATAAACCATTAATCTCACATTTTTACCAGAGCTCATATTACAAATTTTGTTATTGCTGTTCTTCTCTAGACCTCTGTATTACTTGTTCCCATATTGAATTCGTGTCTATGCATGAGTGTAAATAGTTACAATACTTCATCTCAGAAACATAGACACATCCAGAAGATGTCATAGTGACAAGCAGACAAAGCGGCCTTTTAGTTTTATCTGAACCACGTGGCACATCCCACACACACACACACACACACACACTGCAGCGTATTACATAAATGTATATATATATATATATATATATATATATATATATATATATATATATATATATATATATATGTAAGTGCGCAGGTATGCAGAAAATAGAAAAGAACATGTTGGATGCATAATCCAGGGTTCCTTAGTATTTTTGGTTTATTTTTAAGAAGACAGTGCTCCATACAGAAGAAGAGCTTTATTATAATAATATTTTTTGATTAAAAATATGATTCCTTCGCTACATAAGAGTTCTCATGTTTCAAAAACGAGAGCCGAAACCATCCAAATAATTATTAAAATTAAGTTGAATTGTGGTGTTTAGTCTCGTTTCATCTTCAAGCGAAATTTTAATAATAAGCTATCTTTCGGTTTACGTGTGTTTTTAAGCGTGGTCCGTTACAAAATTCATTATTGTGGGAGTGGCTAGACTATTTTCCTTCGTTAAATGGTCAGAGAGTTAATTCTTATCAATAGATTCATCATCTTCTGAGAGGTTTTGTTAAGGTTGGGTAGGGTATCTATTTCAAGGCTAATGTTAGCGGTCACCCTTTAGTTGGTTGCCAGTGAGGGATATTTTTATGGCGCGCCTACAAGTCGTTATGTGTCTGGAGAATTGTCTTTTATTATTGTCCATCTGATTATCTATTTATTTATTTGTTTATTCAAGTGGGTGTTATATACAAATCGTATTGCACTAAATTTTAGTTTGTTAGTTTTGTTTTTGACGACTACAAAAACAGTTAGAAAGATAATTTATAAAGAATTCGCGAAAATAAATTTGGCTAAAACTTCCTAGACGTAACCCTAGATCTAACAAACAACGTTTTTTAAGACTAATCCCCTGTATTACATTCAAACCACCCTCCATCTAAAATTATATACCCACATCAATAGAGAAAAGAATAAGTATGAACTCAGCAAATAAGGAAATGGACCACACAGTTTTTTTTTTAAAAAACGCTGACATAACCTATAGAAACGATGGTACCAATAATAAGAAAACTTAATGTCAGTACTAAACTAGGCCAAAAGTTCCTAGCTTTAATTGAAAAATTTGTTGATGCACGAAATATAGAAAAACATAAAAAGACATAATAAGAAAATCCTTAACTCCCTGCCTATGGTTTAAAAATTGTTTTTCATTACAAAATAGGTATACCAAATTGAGAGTCCTAACACCGATAGAATATACATAGGCTCAACGAAGAAAATTTAAAATTAGATGGAGGTTTTCCTGTAGAAATAAATCTCTATCCCAATATTTTGGCATCTAAAAGAAAACGAATAAAACACCAAAAGTAAAATGGTCATCCCAGGTTTTTATGTTCTTACAGGAAAAACTACACATCATTTTTATTTACTATTTTCCATTTTAGTAATTAGCAAAAAAAAAACCTATGTTTTATTCAAATTTAAATAGGAAAACCGTTTTAGATGCTAACGGATAAAAAATATTGGGATGAATAAAGGAAATGAGAACTCTTATGTAGACAATTTCCAGAAGGAATCAAAATATTTTAATCAAAAAATATTATTATAATAAAACTCTCAGGAGATGATGAGATGCTCTCGTTAACATGAGAAACTTTTGTATGAAAGCACTATCTTTTGGATGGTTTCACCTGTTTTTAAAAATAAAACCAAAATACTAAGGAACCCTGGATTATAAACCAAAATCCAACGTGTTCTTTTGCATTTTCTGCATATTTGCGCACTTACACACACACACATATATATATATATATATATATATATATATATATATATGTATATATATACATTTGTGTAATACGCTGCAGTGTGTGTGTGTGGGGGGGGATGTGCCACGTGGTTCAGATAAAACTGAAAGGCCGCTTTGTCTGCTTGTCACTATGACATCTTCTGGATGTGTCTATGTTTCTGAGATGAAGTATTGTAACTATTTACACTCATGCATAGACATGAATTCAATATGGGAACAAGTAATATAGAGGTCTAGAGAAGAACAGCAATAACAAAAATTTGTAATATGAGCTCTGGTAAAAAATGTGAGATTAGGTTTATAATTAAATCTGCCAACCCTGGTTGAAGCATTGTCATTAACCCTTAAACACCACGCTTTGCAAGTTATTTTAAAGCCAGATATTTTTACATTCTAAGAATTTTTTTCTTGATAATAATGGTTTACTGATACAAATCTACCAATTAACCGACACCTGGGAGCAGAAGGTGGATTCATACCTTTCCCCAAGGTTATGTGCGTGTGAGTGGCTATAATAAACCCGACTGGAATTGGAACTTAGCCCTTGAAATAGCTGTGGGTATTCAAAAATACTTAAATCTGTCAACCCCGGTTGAAACATTCAAGAAGGCCGGAGCGTACAACGACTGAAACGTCGTGAATGTTGCAATAACGATGAGGACAACAGTCCGAACAATGTAAATAGTTTACTATACTAACCACTTAAATTAGATTTACTAAATATAATTATATATTGTGTATTTAAAACCAAGCGTTACTAAATTTTGGATTGACTTTATTATCATTGGTACCGCAAGTTAGTCCAGGTTATTTTAAAAGTATCACTAAGAGTCAAAAGTAAGGATTTTTCTTGATAATAATGGTTTACTGATAAAAGTCTACTAATTAATTGACATCTGAGATGAGAATAATTAGATTAATACCTTTTCCTAAGGGTATTTGTGCTTGAGTGAATTTAATAAACCCGGCTGGAATTAGAACTCGGCTCTCGGAATAACTGTGGACATTTAAAAGTAGTTAAATCTGGCAAACCCGGTTGAGACATTATTATTAGTCCTTAAAAAGGAGGCATTGTCAATTGATGTTTTATTGGAGACCAGCTAAAATTATCAATTGATGATTTGAATTTCATTCCAACGATATCGGCGCCATTGTTTCATAAATCGAGTTTAAATGACTAATTGGAATTCTAGGATTCATGAGGCTGCGTCGTTTCTTTGCCTGTAAATAAATTCGATTTCAGTTGATTTTTTTTAACGGCTTATCGACCTTTTACATGTTATTTAAAAGCAGATTTTTTTTTTTTTTTAGATTTTAAGGATATTTTGGAGATAATGATTTATTGATACATGTCCTACTAATTAACTCATAGCTGAGGAGATAATAAGTGGATTCGTACCTTTTCCAAGGTTATTTGCGCTTACGTGAATATAACGAACCTGACAGAAATCTGATCACGTCTCTCTGATTTCCCTTTTCGGACCGCCATCTATTATATAACACATCGCGCACCCAAGCTTACAGCGCCTCGTATTCCAAAGTGGTCACTCACCTTGTTACTGACCAGGCTCTACGTTGTTTAACTTCGGTGATCGTTTGTACGAGAACCGGTTTTTCAACGAGATATGACCGTAAGCCCCCCTGCAAATAAAGCTTGAAGAATACGTCAAAGACAATGCTATTTCGGCATGCATATTTCTCGAAGAAATCAAGAAAATACAAAATGGTCGGGGGTCAGGTGTCAATTTAAACGTATTCCTGGAGAATAAGGAATAAATTAAATTTGCAAGCATAAATCTACTAAATTATGAATTGACTTTCTTTTTATTTGCAGTTCGAGTTGATCCAGCTTATTTTAAAAGTAACCCCAGAATCTCATGCAGCAACATTAAAAATTCAATAACACAAGGCCTTCTTAATTTATCGCAATCCGGTAATCATATGCCAACACTAAAATCAAAACCGTCAACGCTTTGGAGACATATCAATAAAAATGTTATTGAAGAAGAGTTTGAGCCACACAGGGTACCTGACAATTGTTATTGTTTATTTGAATTTTTCTCTTTGCTCAGTGTGCTCATGTGCTAAACTATTTAATCTAGCAATAAAACGTTTCTCTGCAACGTAAATCTGAAAAGAAGTCAGTTTGTAATATTTCCAGACTGTAAATGAAAACATCTGCGTTAGGACAGCACAATCGGAACACGGGTCACAAAAAACAAAACAACTATATAAATGCAGCTTTGATCTCCAGTAATATAAAGAAAAAAGCACCCAACTAACGTAATACTCAGCAAATGAAAGATATGACAATAAAATAATATAGAAAACAGTATTCTACTTAGATTGGCTTAATATATATATATATATATATATATATATATATATATATATATATGATAAAATATAGTTTTAAGGTATGCTATATTTGTGAGATAAAGTGTTCAATATCAAAGATAGAGCGTATGTAAATATAAAATTTGACATTGAAGTCAACACCCAGAGGGAACAACCTGCTTCATACTAAACGCAATCATCAGGTCATGATAATTGCGTTTAGCATGAAACAGACATCAATGGTCACTTTATATATATATATATATATATGTGTGTGTGTGTGTGTGTGTCTGTGTGTGTGTGTGTGTGTGTGTGTGTGTGTGTGTGTGTGTGTAAAGTGACCATAGAACTTTCATTTTAATGGAATATTAAAATCAACGTCAATGTTTTTTAAACTAGCCGTCATTGACAAAGTGAGTCACGAGTAGTTTAGTCTAATGTGTGTGTATGTATATATATGTGTATGTATATATATATATATATATATATATATATATATATATATATATATATGAATGCATTAATATTCAAGAACGAATTGATTTCTCTCAGCCGCTGGCGTATTTCGTATACAAATCTTTAAAATTTTCCTGTCTCTCTGCCGTGCGCCGATTGGTTAGGGGTAGGCTCACGGACAGATGCCAAATCCGTCGAGTTTCAATCCCGGCCTGAAGTAATCGGACATCTAGCCACACTCAAGAGCTGTAATACAGCGAAACAGTCTCTCTCTGATGACTATATATATATATATATATATATATATATATATATATATATATATATATATATATATATATATATATATATATATATATATATATTGTACCATATAATATGTATAGGAATAAAACTTTATTTTTATGAGGAAAGATCGTATAAAAAGAGAAAAGGAAATACCTGCTGAGATTGTGCAAAGCATGTTCCAAATTACACAAGGTTATCTCAGCAAATATTTTCTATACTTATTAAAATACATTAAAAGGGTAATAGTAATATTAGCTGTTTCCTCATAAGAAAGCATTCGGCATTTATTAGCCGAGCAGTCAGTGCTACGCTCGGTCGAAATTTAGAAAATGTTTCTCTTGAAATTGTTTTTCAGGCAAATTCGTTTCTCAAGTGCACTTATTTCTGTTACTATTTCTCCTATTGATGGCAGTTTCCTTTCTAACTTTTTGTTTGAAGTAATGTGGAATGTCAATACATTGATTATGCCATCGCTTTCTCTTCGAGTTACAAGTGCTATCCATTTTTATTGTTGCCGTTATTGAAATTCCTGAAATAACATGGTTTATGTTATTTGGTTCAGTTCTTTGCTTGTAATTCTGTAGCCCCTGTCCACGAATTTCGAGATGAAGAATGCTTCTCGCTAAGATCTACATCAGTTACCACGATTGATTTGCTACTCAAACGTTGGAGGTGGGAAACTGACTAGGAATTTCTTTCTTTTTTTTTTATCATTCACCTCAAACAAGGCGGGAATGCCACTAGTACGCAGGAGATTACAGACATTGAAAATAAGAACAAAGACAGGGTGCAGGGGGATAACGAGATTCAAGAAGACAGAAGATTGGCGTTGCATTTAAATTTTTGAAGATTGTAGTTTCCAGAGAAGCAAGTAAACTGAAGGGAGTTCCACAGGCGGGAAGTGCAAGAAAAGAAACAAGTGGATTAGAAGTGGCGGTTAGATTTAATTATCTCAGCAGTAAAACGGTTGAACCTAGATGCCAATCTAGTAGCACGCTTAGTATTTTATTTATTTTATATCCGATTTGGGCAGTTTAAAAAATTACGTCTAACTTCCATTGCATCGTATGAAGTAGTCTCTTTTCCCCAACGAATTCGTTGGTATCATCGATGTTCTGTGTTTAAATTCGTTCTAGATTGGGCTTGCATGTGCTGTTCAAATTTTTTAAATGTTTGGCTATTCATGTAAGAAATTTGTACATCAAAATTAAAACTTTTGTATTTTTCGAACTTTGGGTTTAACACCAGCACATGTAAAACTATAGTTATATATATATATATATATATATATATATATATATATATATATATATATATATATATATATATATATATATAGAGAGAGAGAAAAAGAGATTGGCAAGAAGATCTCACGGTAATATTTGTTTATATTTCGAGATGAGATCTTGTAATTATTTACATTATTTACACTGTTCAGGCTGTTGTCCTCATCTTTATTGTTATATTCACGGCGATTCGGTCGTTGTACGCTCCAACCTTCCAATCTCCTGAAGAAGGCCGAAACGTCGTGGATATGAAAATAAAGACAGTCCGAATAATGTAAATATCTCACCGTAAGTTCTATTCTAATAGTTTCCTTTCTCCCCTGTGGAACTGTCTTCCGATGTCTTGCTTCCCTGACGCCTACAATCTTCAAAAATTTAAATGCAACGCCAATCGCCATCTTCCGTCTTCCTGAGAAACGGTATTTTCAGCGGGTATCTCGTGTAGGCAGTGAGTTAAACAAACATCTCTCGAAACTTTGGGCTAACAATCAGGTCACCCTTTAGGCTCGTAGAAGGCACCAAGTGTACATGTAACTACAGCAGTAAGATAGCCTGAAGGGGTCCACCACTCCTCAGTTTTCCTTTCTACTTGACTGGCTGCTACGTCAAGACAAGAGAGTCCAGTTGGCCGTTCTATTTAAACCATAGCTGGAGAAAGTAGAGATCAATTCCTACGTTCCTACAAGTTATTCGCGCCTAAGTAAGCCGGAATTAGAACTCAGCTGTCCGATGTTTCTTTGCGAATCGCTAACCATTACACTACTTATACATTCTGGGTTAACGATAGCAATTGAAGGGTGCGTTAAAAGCGTCCTCGTTTATTCGTTTACCATGAAAACAGCGGAAGGCTACAGTAGCTAATTTGTTGTGATGAAAACCAAGATAAGGTAACTGGTTTGAACGAATCAATGTAACGGAAATATAACATTTAATACACCGTGTTTTCTTGCGTATAATACGAGAAATTTTGAACTAAAATCAAAGGTAAAATATCTGGGTCGTACTATACACGGGTACATATACTCAGAAATTTTTTTGCACATACACTCGAAATATATATAAGTTGTAGCCTTTGTCTGACTGTTACCGAACTCCTCCTAAAGTTTTGGAGATAGACCTCCATAACCACATATATTCTGAAACTACATTACCCAGGATACTTGGATAAGTATATTTCATTTTGATCAAAGGAGGCCCTGGGAGCACCGCCACCCCCGCACACACTATTTTTTCCCTTTGATATAAATTAAATTTAAATTTGATCAAGGAAATGACTGCTATCCAAAATAAAGGAGAAAGCCAGAAGATGGAGGTCACATTGGCAAAATCAAAATGAGATAATATGGATGACAAGTTGAGCAAGAAAGCACCGATGAGTAGATAGTGCCTTACAATACATATCTGTTGCGACAATTCAACTGCCATATAAATGTTGAATGCTGCTCATCAATAGCATTCAATCAAGGATCAAATACGTATCAATGGGGTAAGATCAAGCTGTTTTGCATCCACCTACTGAAAATATTTTTTCCTTTGATTTAAATTTGAGAATGACTCCTATCCAAAATAAAGAAAAAAAACTAGAATCTGTCTATATTTCTGAGATGAGATATTATGTTCACTATTTACATTATTCAGACTATTGTCCTCATCGTTGATGCCATATTTATTACAACGTTACGGCCGTTGTACGCTCCGGCCTTCTTCAGGTGGTTGGAAAGTCGAACTGAACCCTTTTATTTCGCTCACTGGGGTACTGTACCCAGATATTCATATACTGATGTCCTCATGGACATACGGCTCATTAGATAAAGGCGTTGGTTAGATTCAATGACAGGACCCAAAGAGTGTGAGTTCAATACCTGGTTAAGGCGGTTGAGAACTTGAAGAGGGGAATTAACAGGAGATAACTGATATCCACTAGGCATCGCACGTGGAGCTAGAAGTATATATATATATATATATATATATATAACTGAATATTGAAGTCAACACTCAGAGGCGACAGGCTGTTTCATGCTGGGTGCAATTGACAGGCGGCCTGACGATTGCGTCCAACATAAAAAATAGACTATATATATATATATATATATATATATATATATATATGGGGTTGTATTATACACAACAGTTATACAGTATTATATATATATATATATATATATATATATATATATATATATATATATATATGCACATTTGAATACGACAAAGTGCTTTTATTTAGTTTTTTTACAATTTCTCATGTGATCTAATATTTTTTTTTTC